AAAAAAAGTGTTGAAAGGGTCTTAGTCAAGGAAGTATAGTGACCAACAAACAATATTGAGTAAGTAACTGTAAAAAGAATTAGCAAAATTATTTAATTAAATCATAATTTTAATACAAAAATGAAGTTTTTGTATATTTAAATTGATAGGTGTATTTTTGAAAAAAATTTACTAGTATCAAATATTTGCTTTTAAAATTAAAATTAATGCTTGGATCCTTTTTGGAAATCATTACAATGTTATTTTGGACATTTTCCATTATTGTAATTGAATGTATAATATATATACATGTATATGTACATGTATGATAAAAAAAGGGGTTTTAAAAGTGCTTAAATATTAGCACTATTTATTGTAACAAAATTTTTTCTATTTTAATTTTTTTTATTAATATACACATTTTATTTGTCTTCGATGACCTAAGTGTAGTATCGTGAAATGACTTTAATTTCTTTTATTTATCTTTATCTATATATATAAAACAATGAAATTATCTCAAGTAATTTTATTTACGTATTAAAATTTGTTTAGATAAGAGCCAGCTGGGTTAAAAATGAAACTACGCATCCTTTTTTATTTATTTTTCCTGGTACACTTACATCGAGTCGCTTTGGAGGTAAATATAACACGCCTGATGACCTATCAGCTCACCATGTGTGGACCGTTTCTTTTGCAATGTGTCAAAGTGGAACTTTCCTTACTTGGATTCTAAGATAACTACAACCACACCTTTTCCCCCGTGTTTCGGGATTCCCTCGTGTTTCAGCAGAGGAGATTGTTGTCCGGATAAATATTTCGAGACAGACGGCCTAACCTGTTTTAATGTTACCTCCATAAATGCAACAACGGACATCAGCAGGGATCAAAGAACACAATATTTAATGATTACAAAATGTCCATCTAATACTGGCAGAACGTTGAAGGATAACTGTGAAATTGAAAGCGAAAGTGTGTAAATTTAAAAATTTCCCCCCGGAACAGTTTTTAAAATTGACGTATGTTAACAAATATTGTGCTCAGTGTCCATACCAACTACCCGATTGGTCTGTGGACATCTATTGTAGATTATTTTTAGATATTAACTTTCTAAAAAGGGTTGTTACAAAAGGGATAAGAGAAAGTGCATAATGCAATCAGTGCCTCCCACGGCGAGTTCACACTACAATTGCTACAGATTATTAGAGCTAAGTTGGGGGTCATGAAACAGACGGATTTTGGAAGGAAAAGGATCAGGATATATTGAATGCTTGTCATTCCTTTCGTGAACAATAATACATTGTTAAAAAACATTTTTTGTAAAATATGCAATCCTACGTTCTACGACGGCGAAATCATAACGGAATGCAATATTACTGGAAAATGGGACTTCTTTGACTCTAATTTAAAAGAGGCATGTTCTTTTTATGGTTATAATGCTGGCATTTGCCATACAAAAATATATTTTGTCAAAAATGAAACCCCCCTGAGAGTTTGTTGCATGAATATCTAGATGCTGTTGCGAACACAAGTATTGAAATGCTGTATTCCAAAGAAGGAAAGACGACATATCATTATAATGTTAACTTCAGAGGATTTCCCGAAGAGCACTTCAAATTTGTACACAAAACCCATCATGAGAAACACGTTTTTGTAAAAAGACCAAAATATACATTAACAAAACTATACATTGAATGTAACTGAATTGATTCATAAATCAATTGCCATTAAGAAGTTTGCTAAGGTATGTGAGGACCATAACATTCCAAACGCGATATCCGGAATTCTTCGACCATGCAGTTGTACCCCTTCATGTTTTGCACATTGGAATTGTTGTGAAGATTTGCTCAAGATACCCTAGTGCCTGTTTGATTGAAAAATATTTTTCCGGGGGAAAAAAAACTATTTTCAATACTGGGGAATTTTTAAAATATATTTCTTTTCTCCTTTATTTTCCAATAAATAAAGTATAAGCAGATAGATTGATATTGATATGATTTGTACTTGTGTAAGGATATAGCATAAATAGTTTTATGAATATGAGTTGAGGAATAAAAAAATATTGATCATTGTTGTATTGCATTTAGCGGATTTAAATTGCAGAAAATGTGACATAATTTTGAAAGGCATAAAGATGTTGTTTTATTTAAAAATAAAATCATTTGGCATGAAAATGTGTACATTATCTTAGCATATAAATAAATAATATATTTATTTTGTCAAACATGCTAAAATTATCCTAATTATTTTTTTCAGAACTTAAAAATGTGTGGTTTATGTTCGTAACGCATGGTGTTCATATGCATTGAAGTTTCTGACACCCTCTACAAACATTAAATAATTTGTCAAGTTCAATTTCTGTGTTTAATTAATGAGATAGTGATAAATTATTTTAAACAATATGCTTCATGAGCATAATAGTTCTTTTCGTAATTATAAAATGATCTCTGATTGTAAAATGTTTGGTTCGACCGTTACGAACATAATAGCTTTCAGTATGATTGCTAAAATAACAGCCAAAGAATAAATTTTCTCAGGAAGTCCGTAGCAGTGGTATGATTATAAATTGAAAAAGAAAGTAGAAAGGTTGCGCAGCTGTCTGCTAAAAAAAATGGCGATGCTCATTGTGTCCATGTGGAAAAAAAGAAGTTACGTACATAAAAGATTCGGTAAGTTTTTATTGTATCAATTTGAGTGAATGCTGAACACATAAATACAGTCATTGTATCTTTATACCTTGTAGCTATTAATCAGAAACTAAGATATGTCGCTTATGACATACAAAATGCATAAATCTGTCCGAGTCGAGTACTTTCGGTTTAGCATTTGACTTTTGATTCGCGTCTTTTGTTACGAACATAAGTGTTTTTGCATTATTTGTAAAATCTATTAATATAAAGTTATATTGTACTATATTTTATTCTATATTTGTTAGTTTTGTTCTGTTCTTATCAAAGGATGAATACTTATTGAATATTTGTTTTAATATTGCCATATCATTTACGCAATTACGTTCGTAAAAGAACAAAAATTGAAGTAGTGACATAATTTGTGCTCTAATTGCCTTGTTTCTGGTTTTATCAAGGATACATAATAATTATAAGTAAACAGCATATGTATTGATTACATCATGGTGTATTTTGTTTTATATATTTTTTTTCTTTCAGATTTACAAGAAATGACTGAATTATGTTCGTAACAATGACACAAAGATCCAAGACTCAAAATAGAAGACCTAGGATATTTAACACTCCATCTGACAATTTACTTGTCTGCATTAATACTGTTTGAAAGCTAGTCTATTATTAAGCTTTGAAAGGAAATATTAAAGTATTAAAGACAAGTGTTCGATTGTCTTGTTATTTTTTTGATCCTTTTTAAAGCTTGATTCGGAGTTAGGTGTCCATGTTACTTACATAATTTCTCCTTTTTTTAAACTAGAAATAAAAATTGTGACTTTTTAAATAAATTCCATTTAATATAACATTAAACATGATTTCATCATACTTTATTGATTACATTATTTTCATATTTCAACAACTTGTTAAATTCTAGTAACATGTTACTTGTTTAGTGCTTATGTAAGTAACGGTGTCCATTTAATCTTATATATATTTTCTAATTATAATGGAATAAGGCAGAAAAAAGTCATGCAATAAAAAATCAAACTGTGTTTATATACTTCAAAAAGGATTCACCAGAAAAGAATAGCTTATTGATTTAAAAAAAAGTCACTGTGGACACCAAGTTACGTACATAAAATTTCAAATGTTGCACATTTGGACACCTATTTTTCTTTAAGACTTCAGATTATCTTCCCATCAATTTTTTTCAGAAGCAGGAAGGGTACTGACTCAAAAAATATACATAAATTATGAAATTGATTATTTTTTAAAAATAGCCCTTTGGTCACACATTAAATAGTACGAAGAATGAGTTAATTTATACAAACAAAGAACAAATATTGAATATTTAGTAACAAATGGATGCTATATGCAAAATGTTTACCAAAGATATTTAGAGGAAGGTTGTCGTAAAAATGCCAAATTTTTTCCGTTATCCCGTACTTGATATTAAGACAAATATTTCTTATTTAAACATGTATTGCTATTTATGCAACATGCCACGATTTAATTTCATTCCATCATGTCAAAGCCATGGGATATCGAAAATTACTCTGGATTTATTGATTTCAAAAAAATTTCAATGGAAATTATAGATACAATAAAAAGATCACGATGTAATGTTACATATCTTCCATTAAAAAGAGCGACCTTCCACATACATTGCCTATTGCTTAAAGACTGATACAATGTACAATGGAATTGTAATTCTTCAGGAAAGTTTTGTTTTTTGATGACCACGTACGGTATGTTCGAGAAAATTGCTTCTGGGGCTCTTTTTCCATTCTATCGCCTACGTTTAAAACCTAGATGTGAGGCTCCATATAAAAACGAATATTGTGCCTTATGTAACCCAGAACACACAGAAAATATCACAATAAAAGAATGCAAAGTAACCGGTGATGCACCTGCATTTGATGAACTAACTTTAACTGCGTGAAATTTTTTCCCCCAAGTTAATGTTTATTTCCGTATAAAAATCTTTTTTGTAGAGATTGTAATATTGGTAAACAAGGGGCGGCTTGTGCTGGTCAAAGTAAATTTTTACCCAGGTCTTCTGGACAGACCCTTTACAATGGTTCCAATTAAAAATTTATTTTTCCCGCACGGAATTGAAAAAAACGTTATCCTTAAAAACATTCCATGTGTAATTCAGCACAAATATATGACTCTTTATCGGTGAGTAGAATTTTTTATATTTTTATTGGTGAAGTACTTTCTATTGCACTGAGATATAGCCCTTTGCCGTCGTTCATTTCTTATTCAATCTTATCACTTACTTTGTTACTTATTTGTTCTTAAAATGAAATCTCTACCATAAACAAACGAGGCATAATTTTCTTTAAAAAGTTCTGCAATCTTATTAAAGTGGTTTCTGATTTTGCAGGATCAATGCAGAAATATAACTTGTTATCCTGGAAAATTTTACACTAATGGAAAATGTGTAGCTCTATTTCCTGAAACCAAAAACTTGGGATATATTTTAATTGCCAGTTTCAAGGGTAATGTGTCTTCAATATTTCCTGTCAAAAAGCTGTTGCAGACAATACACCATACAGTGAAAAATAATGTAATCCGCGACCTGATGATCCAACACACCGATCCACTAGAAGAAGTCATTATTCAAATTGATCAGCCTTGTCTCACAAAGGAACAGTCTTTATCATTTCTTAACTTTACTGGAAGTATTGCTCTGAAGATGTTCATCAGTGAGAGAGTACCAAGGATTGAAACTGAAGAACGACTAATTACAATTATATCTAGATCATCGATGGCAAAACTTAGAAATTCCCTCATTCATTTATCTTTTACCTCAAAAAATCACAGACACAATCACTTTCATCTTTTGCAAAAAAGTGTGACCGAAAATAGTTCTCGGTGTTCTTTACATAGAACCAAAACAAATCCATTAAATCCATTTAGAAATCAATATTTAAATGTAAGGGTTTCAAAGTTACTTACTTGCTCTCAAGTTGAATTTGCTGTAGATGAATATTCTATTGATGAACATTTTGCATCTTGTACTTTCAGAATCAAGAAAATCCTACGGTTATTATTCTTTTGATATATTTCCTAATGGATCGGCTAGAGTTTGTATTACAGACTTTGAAACTAAGGAGAGTTTTATAGTCAAAGAAGAAAAAAATGGTATTTTACTTTCCAAACTGATTTTTATATACTCCAAATGCCGTTTCCATTGTTTTTCTGATATTAGCATTCTTTGTACATATTTTTATCAAAGAGCTGCAAACATTGCCAGGTAAAAATAACATGATTTTAGTCCTATCGCTAGCATTATCCCTTGTAATATTTCAGTTAAGTGACATTGGAATGCTGAATACAATGTTCTGTACAGGAATTGGAGTCGTTCTGCATTATTTTTGGTTGATGGCTTTTTCATCGATGGCCACGTGTTGTTATCACATGTTCAAAATGTTCTATTCCTCTGGGTTAATTTTAGAAGATAAAAACAGAACATTTAAAATGTATATAACATTAATCATAATGTGTCCTGCTTTTATCGTAACTCTAAACGTTCTTATTTTGTTCTCTATTTATAATAATGGATACATTGGTTATGGAGTACAAAAATGTTTTATCGACAATTTGATTTCCCGTATACTATCGTTCATTCTGCCAGTAAGTATTATGTGTGTTACAAATACTTTATTTTTCATTGGTACCATTATTTCTATTAAGAAAGTTCCAGATGTACCCGGTAACAAATCAATGAGAAATGAATTTCTGATTTTTTCTCGTCTATTCACCATCACTGGAATAACCTGGAGCCTACAAGTCATTGATGGTTTCATTCATTTTACAATCTTTACATATGTTTCATCAGTCATTAACAGCTTACAAGGTATTGCCATTTTTGCTGCTTTTATCTGTAATAAAAGGGTATATACTCTATTAAGAGAGATTTACAGACAGAAAACAAGATCTTTGGGTAGAATACAGGAGAACACAGAATCGAATTCAGAAAAATGTTCCGAGATTACCAAGTTGTAAATTCAATGAAGGTAAAGATTATGAAGAGTGATCGATTTTAAAAATCTGTATACAATGCAATGCAAATATCTAATGAGGGTATAAAACATCGACCCCTGGAAATTTCAGAAATGGGATCAGGTGTCTTGGAGGGGTAAGCATCCCATTTTGATTGATCGATCACACACGGCGTAAGCGTCATGTACTAATGAAGTAGACGGGACTTTCTGTTTCCAAATTCAGAATAAAACAAAGGTCTTACCAAGTCAGAGGAAATACGACCCAGTGATTGGCTATATTTCAAGCTGGAAAATATCTACCTTTTTCATTTCTGAACCTTTTATGTATTGTATAGATTTTTCTGTTGATAACATAATGCTACTAAAATTTAATTACTTTTAATATTGTCGTTGTTTTATTTTTTATACAATTTTCGGGTTTATAAATAATTGCAACAAAGTTATAAAAAAAACATGATAAATGTATGACTAACATTTTTCATTTAATATGATTGTGTATTAATTCTTTGTAGATTACTGTTAAATAATGTTTTTTTAAACTCTGGTTGTATTGTATATGATAAATTTATAATTTCTTTAAATGATCTTCCATACTTGTTTGAGATGAGACCATTGCTTTTAAAAAAGATATCATTCTTTATTGAACCGTCTATCATTTGAACTGAAAGTCTTTTTCAATAAAAATTAAATATTAAAGAGTGGCTTCTGTGTTTTATATCACTGTTTTCCCTTCGTTTGTCAGAGTGCCAAGAAATGGAGAGACAAGTTGATCTTTTTATTGATTTTTTTCTGATAACCTGTTGTTTTCTTTCTTATGTCTTTCCGTCAGTCTGTTAACTTTTTTTCAGTTTTTTTATATTCTTTTTTTTTTTGTAATCACCGGATTAATTTCAGCCAAATTAACCTAAAATCAAACATCTTTGGAGAAGGAAAATTAAGTTTTTTATCGTAGAGCAGACTCTCTTAAGATAGACTTTTCGATAATACATGTAGTGTATATTGAAATTTCTTTAATCTGTCATCATGCTTTAAGTTTTAATTGTGCAATATTTTAATTGATAGCGTATTTTTTACTTCTTTTTCTGCAAACAAGCATGAACATGACGCATTCCATCAACGTCATTGTAGTACACAATTTTTCTATGTTTTTTTTTAAAGAATCCAACAATAACATTGTGATGTCCAAACTATAGTTATAACCTAGCTTCGTTGAATGTTTCTCGAGAGTTTTGTACTGTTAAAATACAATTCGGTCAAAAAATTTACAACTCATTTTACTGAACCAAGCCAATTTAAAAAAAATAAACAAGAACTTTCAAATTCGACGCCGCTCTCAATTTATTTTTAATTGAAGTTTTTAAACGTTTTCTACAGGTTTTGTGCTATTTTTCCTTATTTTGCTCTGGAAATCAGATATTTAATTACTTATCACAAATAATTCGGAACCAACTACTGGGGGATCTAATTATTATCCGTTTAAATAAAATAACTCCGCATAACTTCTTGTGGTGGGATGAAATGCGATACTTCTACCCGGGATACAAGATATTTTATTCTCTCAGTCATGTGAGAATCTGGGTATATAATGTGATGCGTTTTTATTATAGAATTTTACAGTGAATGACAACAGGATAATTGTATTATTAGTTTAAGCATTTTATGCATGGATAACATTCAACTACAAGTTAAATCATTTTTCATGCAATTATTTACCGTCATTTAATAAATATTTAGCTGTTCTTAATTTTAGCATTTATATACAATGTTAAACAGACGAAACATACGGAGATAACGAACAGTATTCAAGATCAAAAGTCCATAAAACAAAACAAAATAGGAGCAGAGCAAACAAGGACCTCTAAAACATCAGAGATGTGATCAGGTGCCATGGAGGAGTAAGCATCCCCTGCCGAAGGGTCACGCCCGCCGTTTGCTCCTTGTCATGATCGGGAACTAACGGGAAAATCCTTCGTCAATTCAGTATATAAATAATGGACTAGCAATAAGTATGAAACACGTCAGTCAGCATTTGACTCAATGATAAATTGTATTTGCTGACAATGTAATTGTATCGACCACAGAACTTATGAAATGATGACTTTAAACGAGACTGTTGATATTCTTTTTTCATCAACTTGCTTGTCAAATTTACCTCGTTTCAGAAATTGTTCAAACGTAGAGCATGCTCTTGCGTATCGAATCAACTGAGATATATAAACTCCGTACGAAGGTGGAAAGGTATATTGCTGCATAAGTAAGGGAAGTTGACGATAGAAAAGTTAAATTCATCACGTTTATCATAGAGCTAGGTTGTTAGATTACCATTAACGTCTTTTTTTCAAGTAAAATATCGAAATATGAAACAGATTTGTGAGACTCCGGTATCTTTTATCACAAGCTCACCAGGATATATCGTATCGACATAAGAATGGAAATTACCATTGTTAATTGACAATACGTCGTCGACATATCTAAATGTCGAGTTAAAGGTCGCAGCAAGTGTTTTCTTCTTTTTAGGCATAAGATTTTGCACAAATTCTACTTCATATGAATATTGAAATAGGTCTGCTAATAACGGGGTGCAATTGGTACCCATGATAGTTCCAATAGATTGTTGGAAGACATTGTCTCCAAAAACAACATAGATATTGTCAAGCAGAAACTCGAGCATCTTTTTGATTACAACTTCAGAGTACTTGTGTGTACAATCAGAATGTTTTTAAACGAAATTAAGCAAATGACCAGTGACAAGGTAAGTAAATGTACGAGATCCATTTTCATATATAAGAACACAGTATAAATCAATTTTCTTTCCTCATTTACTAATGTACAAAAAACACCTTTTAAAAAAATATATATAAAGAAATCAATTTCACCGATAGGCATTTTTTACTTTCATATAATAATTTCCGTACACGCTCTGGCGCCTATCAGCAATGACTGCCTTCCACATGGGATCGATTTCTTTATCCTTAGCCGGCATTACTAGATATTTACACTTTCTTCTCTGTTCCTTGTAACATTTTAGACCTTCCGGATGCATAAAAGTTAAATTTCCTCCGAAATTTTCGTGCACCACATTTTTCACACGACTTGGAAGCAAACCAAATAAATAGAAATCATCCACCCAAAAAAATGGTGCAGTGAACACGGCCTGATACAGAGCTGGAATCAGGTCTGTTGATATAAACACTACAAATCCACTACAATATGTATGTGGATACGTATTCTGTGCTTTGTAAAATATGTCACTCACAAACCACTTGCTCGAATTTTTCCGGATAATTGGCATCGAGTTTGGGTTGATTTTATTGCAGAAAATGAATCGTTTTCGTTGTTTCAAAAACGAGAATTCTTCAAAAAGTTTGAAAAAGTTAATAAATGAATCATCATCAATTTTTATCACAATTTCTGCATTCATGCAGTTTTCTGTAATCCAGCGATATCCCATCACGCCCTTGTTGGTGAGGTTCCTATAGGAGTCCACAAAGTCTCCTTGAATTATATCATGATAAAGAGAATTCTCTTTTTCCAACTCTTTCTGGATATTTTTATCACTTGATGTACCAACTAAGAATATCACTTGCAAGTTTTCCGGGCTATAGTGGGAGATATTAAGCCACGTCCGTCGCATTTCTTTCCTTCTCCAAAAGTTCTTAATAGACGTATGAACCATTACTAGGGCCGAAATCTTGTCATATTGTCGACACAGGTTCCTGTTTTTAATGAGATAGGGTGCATACATGCCGACTGGGTATTGTGTTTTAGTTTTTATGATTCTAATCCCTGTGGTAGTTTCATAGTTATTATCGTACATGGGCTCCAAAATCCTAAAACTGTCTCCTGTTTCCTCATAATATACGTGTATATTTTCATTATCCATGGTTAAAAACAATAAAGTAAACATCACTAAACATGATAGACTAACGAATTTCAAATACGAATAGTTTCTGTTCATTTCTGTTCTTTTGGTGTAGCTAGACTCTGAAAAACAAATTAAAATAATTTATCATACATACATTCATTTTGCACGTACACAATGAAACACCAGATGACTCAAATTAATCATCAATTCTGAGGCATTTTCAAAACCTTTAAATGATTTTTTAAAATTAATTATTTAAACGGGATGCTTACTCCTCCTATGTACCTGATCCCTACTATGGAATTTCCTAGGTTCCGTGTTTATGTGCTATTCACTTAATTTTTCATAAAATTGAGATCTGTTCATGATCTTCACCTTTTTCACAAAAACATACATGGATCCATATCAGAGAGCAAATTGGTTTCAAAAATATTAAAGATGCCTCGAGTTATCTGCCGAAAATTTATCTCAAGACTTGTTAATGTTTTAAATCAAGTTACTTCGTTTTTTTTTTTTTGTTTTTTTTTCATTAATTCCGAAAATTTCGAAAAATAAAATATCTTCTTTAACCAAATCTATGGTAAAAGAACGTAGATCTTATTACATACTTATAGTAATACACAAAAGTTTTTTGCATATGCAATACATGAAAATAAGTATTGTATTTTAAGAATTATATGTAGTGTCAGCAACAAATCCTTTATGATAGCATTTCAATATTGCGTCAAGAATTTATCAATATAAAAACACAATAGCTCTGGATAGAACCTGAGTAAATGTATGTAGTAACAAATAACTGTTCTAGTTACTCGAGGTCTTATTTATTGATCATCTGAAAATCATCTAAGATACAACGGAAGTTGAGAGTGTTTCTACTTGGATACATCTCATAATTATGTAAAGAGAGTGTAAGAACAGACTATTTGATTATTAGAATCGATAATACAAGTAATTAAAAGGTCTGGCTTTTTCTTTTGAAATTTGCCTGTTTTTCACCTTTTTAAAATTCATATTTCATTGTGTCTAAAAAAAAAACATAAAGTTCTGGAAAGTTTGCAAAACTAATTGCAATGGCAAAATTGATTGAATCAGTCGTCATTTAGCATGATTCAGACGAAAAGCATTGAAAGAGGGTTATGCACTAGTTATTACAAACCACTCAATCATTGCATACAAAGAAGGCGCAACAAACACAACAAACTAATAGATCTTTAAAGTGTTTCTTTTAAATTGAAACGTTGAAGGATACATAAAATCTGATAAGTTCATAAATTGGAAATGTCGAGCTAACTTTATGTCCGATTTATGGAAATGTGTGGTCTAAGAAAATATGTTGATGAACATAACTTTCTTTAAAACAAAGTAAATAAAATGTTATATAGAAGAAAAAATGAAGATAAATCGTGATCTAAATATGAATTTCGTAAAAATTAATTTAAAACAACTTGTGTCCCGAATACGATCCTAGGGTAGACTGAACTTGCAAAT